CACACACACACACACACACACACACACACAAACACACACGCACACAAACACACAAACACACACGCACACAACACACTCAGAAAGAAATAGCGGAATACAAAGCCTGAATTGATTTAATTTTATCACATCATGTTACATAATATGCAACTTACACGAATTATATTAAAATTTGTCCAATTCACTGTCAGAGCCGGTTATGACGGTTACGTTCATGTTATATTTTATCAGAAGCATTGATACGTCATTTTCGGACACATACCCTGTCTGCACGTTCTGTAAAATATCGAACACACGACACTCAATAGGGGAAAAAAATGTTTTAAAAATGCTGGGTACAGGGAATAAATGCCTTTGATCTGAAGCAGAGTAGATACTCATTCGATTTTGCTCGGTTGGATTAATGGTGACTCTTATTCTCGGGAGATGTTTTGTGCTTCGATGCCAGTTTGATAGCATCCGATTCGGTTTCTGTAGAACATGCTTGCTTTTTTTCTCAGGGCTTACCAATGTGGACTCCTCTCCATCATTCATTGGATGTCGGCATATCGCTACCATAGAATTACAAAGTTCTATCTAACATTTGTGGCCCTTTTAGTTACTACAACCATGAGGTCAGAAACCAAATGTTCTATCTGCTCTATTAAAATCGTAAATTCGGAGTCGTTATCAACATATTAAAATAATTGCATTCGAAAATACTTGAATTGTTGTAAAACTTTAAAGTTCTAACGCCAAACTTCTCAAAACTAGGTACTGAGCAGATATAACTTGGTAATTCTAGGGTAACGTTCATGGGGGGGGGGGGGCATTAGGTTAATATAAGAGAACATCTTGTGCGGAAAAACGTTAGAGCTAGTAATCCTTAAAGATCAGATATATAAGTCTGTGGAACTCCTCACGTAAATATCTGAACTGTTCTCCCCAGCTTCCAAGAAATGAAAGCAAGACCAACAATAAAACGATTTTCTTCCCCCTGTAACATTATATCACGTTGCCATAGTAGTAGATAACCCTCCTGCATTGGCACTTACGCACAACAAAGTTATTACGATAACACAGAAAACTTTGAAACTTCTTTATCAAATAGCACGGGTAAATTGGTAAAGCTGTCTAATTCCCTTTGAAAAGTATGTATATGCCAGCCGGGTTTTCATCCACGATCCGATCAAGCAAAACCGATTTGATTGATTGATTCAGTGTCCACCCCTACGTAACGTCAATCCTGTCTACGCGGAGTTTTATCCAACGAGATCACCGTCGGCCTTGTTTGGGTCCATACAGGACAGAGTCGGCTGATTCCACAGGGTGCCTGCTGGACACGTCTCTAGATAGGCGGTACCGTCTGGCTCACACTGGGGACGGGGCAGATAGATAGATAGATAGATAGATAGATAGATAGATAGATAGATAGATAGATAGA